GGGGCACACGGGACACAACCCAGCCACAGGAACACCTGCGCAGCCACGGCAAAGGCTCTCCCTTGAGGCCCTGGCCTGTGCCCACCCGTGCTCCTGGGTATGCTTCTTCCTCTGAGAATCTATCAACCTCTGTGCTTAAGATCTGTGTTTTAAATGTCTTTAATAAACCAATTCTACTTCATATTGGTTCACTGAAAGTCCTTTCTGCATGGAAGTCAAGAATCCTGGTATGAGGGGCTGGAGAGATGAGCAGCAATTAAGAGCACTGGCTGCTCCTGCAGGACCCGGGTTCAGTTCCCAGCACCCACGTGGCAGTAAACAACCATCTATAACTCCAGTTCCAGGGGATCTGATGCCAAATTCTGGCCTCCACAGCACTGGATGCACAGATGCACTTATATACATGCAAGCAAAACACTCATGCACATAAAATTTAAAAATTAAAAAAAATAAAGAATTCGGGTGTGCTGCCTGAGTGGAAGTCCCTGAAGTGGAAGGCGGGGGTGACAGGAGCTGTGTCTGTCGCTGCTGACAGTCTCAAAGTCCGGGCACCTCTCTTCCAGTGGGACTGAGCCTGAAGGTCCAATCTGGCCCTCAGAGAACAAAGCAGCCCCCATGACTCACCTGGCCATTGGAAGAGTCTCACCCACAAGGTGGTCTCAGCTTTGTGCCCTAACATCCCTGTGAGGGAGGACTCAGTATTCCTACTTGACAGAAGAAACTACGGTCTAGAGGAAAAGGGCACAGAGCGACTTGGACCCACCCCCTACCTGGAGGCCCCACCTTCTCAGGTCACTGCCAGGCTCTTGTGCCTCAGAGCCCAGACTGCAGGTTCACAAGGTCCCACCCCATCTAAGCCTGAAGCTGCACTCAGAGAGAAGCCTGCAATGCACCCACTATGCTACACCCCCACCTCTTCCTCTCCCCTAGGGCAAAGGTTTAGTGTGGCCCTGCCATAATTAGAGGCCAGGGCAAAGGAAAAGGGCACACCCAGCAGGGAGGAGGGGCAGAGGCCCATGAAGGGGCAGAGGTGGGGTTGGCTACATTGTAAGAAGTAAATATAATATAACCACAAGACAAATACAAGGGAATTCAGAGGATTTCTGTAAGGCAAAGGAGATAGACGGGAGGGAGGGAGGGAGAGAGGGAGGGAGGGAGGGAGGGAGAAAATGGCACACAAGCTGCAAGGTCAGTCCCAAACCCACAGCAGGGTACAGAAAGGCGGCCCCCCTCTCTACTACGGGTAGAACAAACCAGAGCTGTATGGCCAGGGCCTGTCCTCTATCCCTAAGACTGGAGGCTCACAAAGGCCTCAGGGAAAATGCTCCTGGCCAGCAGGACAAGGCAAAGGACCCGGGCCCCTCCCCATTGGCCCTATCACCCTAGTCAGTCTCCTGGTGACCTTCCTTCCCTGACTTCATCCTCCAGGGTGGCTAGGTGACAGGAACAGTCCCCCAGGCATCAATGGGCACCAACCCCACAACAGGTCTCCTTTGTGAGTGCCTTTGCCCAAACCTGTTTCTCTCACACTTCCCCCAACACCATACACCCTCCACTGCTCCAAGCCAAGCCCCCTGAAGGCTTCCATGTGACTGAAGCATAACAGATTGTCCTGTGCCACAGAGCAATGTGCTCCCTGTGGGAATACACATAAGCCACCTCACCATGGCCCCCACCACCCCACCACATGTGGCCTTACCTCATAGATGAGGAAGACTTTGGCCCCCACATATATGCCCATGCGAGTCACAGCCCTGACAGCAGCGTTCATACCTGTGAGGGAGTTGGGGGGACACCCCGTCAGTATGGTCAGGAGACATCAGAGACCACACCACCCCCATCCCAGTCGGCTCTGGGCCAGGAACTTAGAGGCTGGCGTTGACTTGCTCCCAGAGCACTTAGAAAGAAGGTGCGGAGGAGCGTCACAGCTGCTCCTGAGCAGGCCTGGCCTCCCTCCATTTCTGCTGCCTGGCCCCCTAACTACGGCAACAAGCAGCCCTGGGCTCGGACAGCAGAGATCCCACCCTCACAGGCCCCCAGAGCCAGGTGCTGACCACGGGGCCTGAGGATGAAAAGTGGGGGCAGTGGCATGCACAGGGTGGGGCTGAGTCCCCTGGCACAGGCCAACATGTAGAGCGAGGTGATGTGGATAGAAGGCACCTGGGAGCACTGGCCGTGGGCACTGAGGACTGTGCCACCCTTTGGCCCCACCCTCCCATTGGGCCTCATCAAGCAGCTGAGTGGAGCACACGGGGTCCGGGTACCAGGCTGATGGGTTGGACCCCCACCTTCAGCCCCGGACTCCCAGGCCTGCGGCAGCACTGTGACCGCCCCTGCAGAGCAGATCCCTGGTAAGATGGACATAGAAAGGGCAGGAAGCAGCGCTGGTTCTGCTCCGCCTCACACCTTCCCAGGACCCATTGCAAGAAAGGGCAGGCGGGTGACCCATCCTCGGGAAGTACTCTGAACTGCTGTTCTACCCAAGAACCATCCCTGCCCCTCCTGTACTTCTCTCCATGGCTCCCAGTCCCTAGTCCTGGGAAAGCTTTTTCCTGAAGGAGGCCATGTGCCCTGGAGCCCCAGAGCTTTTGAGGGCCTAGCTTCTTAGTTGTTGAGGCATCCTGGCTCTAGGTGTGCCCTGCACCCAGGTCCTGTGTGTGTGGTCCACATGGGAAGGGTTCCTGTCCTTCATCTTATAGGTCCATGGGGCTCAGCTTGGGGGAGGACCCTCAGGGGACAGTCCTAATGATGCTCCAGGCCTTGAGGAAGCACCCCAACAGGCAGGGCCCTCCCCTGGCCTCCTCACTGCACATAGCACACCAGAATTCTGCCACAGGCCCTGGACCACAGGAGACGGACCCAGGGAGAGGGTAAGGGGCCTGGAGCCCCCTGGCCTCCTCACTGCACATAGCACACCAGAATTCTGCCACAGGCCCTGAGACGGACCCAGGGAGAGGGTAAGGGGCCTGGAGTCCAGCAGGAGAGAGCAGAGCCAGGATTCAACACTTGGACACAGTACTCCTCTAAAGCTGGCATCTGTCCAGAGCCCAGGGCTTCTGGAGAGAGCCCCAGACATCAGGGGTGGCAGAGTACAGGTGCCAGCAAGGGCCCTAACGGGTCACACTTGTGGCCTGCACACTTGACTTCAGCAAGCTTGTCCTATTAACTCCAGAAACAGCAAATATCTCCCATCCATCAAGCAGATGGAAGTGTTGCTAAGGCTGATGTCAGAGTGGGGCCTAGGAGTACCCCACATACTCAGAGAGCTGAGCTCTGGGCCTGGAGTGTCTGAGGAGCCCAGAGCTGAGGTTGGATGTAAGCTGCAGGTTCTCCCTGCTCTCTCCTGACCTCACCTGAGTGGGGACAAGGAGGGAGATCAGCCCAGCCAGACCAGAAGCAACTACCTCGCTTCCTTCCCGCTCTCATCTTACGCACAGGCGCAGAGCAGGGATCCTGGTTCCTGACAAGTGGGACAGAAGGCCTACAAGCACGGGAGGGTTTGAAGAAGCCAGAGGCCTGGAACCCACAGCATAGCCCCAACATCTTTCTGGTCACCCCTGGCTCCAGGGGGAGGCCGCATGCAGCTGACCAGGCCATCTCACCAGCCAGCCCACTACAGAGCCGGGCTGGGGTTATTGTGCAGTACACACCTGCCTTGCAAATGACAAGGCACTGCAGAAAAAAATCCAGAGCTAACACAGCTGCCAGACCAGGCCAGGTGCTCCAGAGAAGAAGGCGATTGCATCCATGAGGCTGCCTTTCTTGTTGGGACAGGGCCCTTGCCATGGGATGGTCATCTGAGAGAGAGGGTGCTCTGAGAGAACCGCAGGAAAGCCTTCTGCAAAAGGTGGTTGTTCTGTAATTCACTTTATAGCTCAGGATGGCCTAGAACTCATGGCAATCCTCCTGCCACAGCCTCTCAATTACCAGGATTACAGGCCTAAGCAGCCACACCCAGTTAAAAGGCCTTTACAATGGCCCTTTAATCTACTTTTCTTTCTCAGAATAAAACTGGCAGGGACCAGCACCCATCAGAGGGCCAGTAGCAGAAGGGCAAACAATTGTCTATCAGTTGGTATCCTCAGTCCCGCACAGGGCGAAAGCCTTGAGGCTTATGCATTTGTTGCAAAAGTGACTTTAGAGCCACAACCTCCAGGAAAAATGACCTCAGGGGAAACAAGGTGCCTTACAGGCCGCTGCTATCTAGAGATCCTGGGCCTAGCAGAGCAGTTACTTATCAGCTAATGGGCCAGGTCCAAGCCCAAACCCAGTGGAGCAGGCAGGGTGTAGAAGGGGGCCACACAGGCAGTCGTCACACAAACAGGAAATCAGTGTGCACACTGACCACAGGGAAAAAAGACAGCACCCCAGGGCTATTTAGGTGCAGAGAAGGAACTGGAAAATATGGCTTGGAGAACTGAAGTGCCTGGTGAACCTGAGGTGCAGCAGGTGGGTCAGTGGGCTGTTTCTACTTGTCGTTGCGTTTACACCAATTACTCTCATCAAACAGGCATAGGAGAACAACAGGACTCCTGGCCACAGGAAGGCAGAGACCCAGGCCTGCAGAGGACAGGCCTTCCTGGCTGGCTAGAGGGAAAAAGACACCTTTTCATAGAAGGGGAAACCAAGGCCAGAGACAGCACTTGGATCAGGCCAAGAAATTTCTGGGTCCAGGCTGCCCCCACTGGTGAGGCAGGCTGGTTTTCACATGCTCAATGCATGTAGATGGGGCTCCAGGGAGAGGTGCACCTCTGGGTGCCCATTCCCTGGCTGCTGTCAGTCAATGCCACAGAGGGCTCATAAGGGCACTGGGGCACACAGAGGGCACACGAGGCCCGGCTGCTATCTGGGCACAAAAGCAGTGCCAGGCTGGGGAATACACTCACAGGCAGCTTCCCAAACTTATGTAACAGAAGGCTCCACTCTACCCTGATGCTAGCTGCTGCCCCTCACCAAGTGACACAGGCTCTACCCAAAGAATTTGGGTCGGAGGCTGTAGAGACCTCCCCCTGGAGCCCAAACAAAAGAGCACGTTGGCTTTGCCCAGCCTCACCTAGTTCAGGAAGGGCCTCCTGCCTCTAGCCTTCTCTACTGGCCTCCAACACCATGTCTGTCACCCTGGCATCCTAGCCTGGCAGCTTCCTCTGAGGAACACCTCACCCACAGACACTATTTGATAGTCTCATCACTCAAGACACTGCTGCGCCCTTGCTCAGACAGGAGCATAGAGTGAATAGCCTGTGCTTGCCAGAGCCAGGAGCCCAGCAGGTGGGACCTGGGGCTTCACTGGCTCATCAAAGTACCTACTTAGTGGCTGAGGTGGGCCCAGGCAAGGCCTCTCGTGGGGTCTACCCCCATGGATGATTCTTCCCAAAGTCCCTTTCAAGACTGCTGGCCCCCTGGCCCAGCCTCAGCCCCAAAGACAGGCTAAACTCTAGAGGCTCACTGCTGCAGGTCAAGCACATGGTAATGCTCTTCCACTGGGCCCCAAAGAGCCCCTGTTGGCTACGTCAGTGTAGAGACTCTGGACACCAACAGTCAGGACAGGACCAGGCCACCAAGAGAGGGACTGCGGGGAGGACGGCCTCCAGGTCAGGCCTTCCCCTAACCTTGCCAGGCCAGACAGGGCTGTAGACCCTGGGCAAGTGACCATCATCTGGTGATTGCCCTGTTACAACGGTTAAGAACAGGCCTGTGCTAAGAAACATCTCAAAGCCGCCCTCCCCACAAAACTCCCTGTCCACACACCCTCTTCCTCTCCCGGGCCGGGACAGGAAGCAGTCCCGGTGGAGTGTTGGCAAGCATGGCTCACCCCCACCACTGCCCTGAAGGGGAAGGTGGGAAGCAGAGGCTGGATGGGGAGGGCGCAGGGTCCCTGGTCCTTCCAGGCTCTCTGGCTGGAGGCTCGGCCCAGAGTGCTCGCAGAGACCACCGAGGTCCGACACGTGGTGTCTGGGAAGGAGCCGAGGGTCTGTGCGCTTGGCGGACACACCCCCGGGCGGGCAGACCCGGGCAGCGCGAGGGCGGGGCGCGTCGAGGCCCGTGGCCTGCTGCACGTAGGCCCGCGTCCCGGGGCGGAGTCTGGGGACAGGGACCCGGAGCCGCGGAGTTCAGGCTGGAGGCCGGTGGGGCCTCGGATCTCCAGGTCCCAAGGCGAGGGGCGGTGCGTGAGCCCGGAGGACCCCCGAGGACAGGTAGAAGCCCACGATCCGCCCGTCCACGCAGCTCCCGCCCGTCACCTTGCGCATCGCCGCCGCTGGTCAGCACGCCGATGGCCTTGCCGGCCCCCGACATCCGCAGCTTCTCCAGGTCCACGGTGGCCATGGCGGCGGCGGAGCCCCGGAGCCCCAGCTCCCCTCTCGCCGCGCTCGCCGTTCCGCGCCGCCGTCCTGCGGCCCCGCCCTGCGGCCCCGCCCCGCCCCGCCCCGCGCAGGCCCCGCCCCAGCGCAGCGTTGATGGACGAGCCCGGGAACCCGGTCCCCTGCCTGTGGCTGCCGGTGGCCCGGAGCTGCTGCTGGAACGCGACGGCCTGGAGGGCGGAGCGCGCTGCTGCCCACTCGGGCCTGCCCAGCGGTCCCCCGACCCAGGGCTTCCCAGGCGCGCATCGGATCCCCAGACGCCCAATAAGTGGGGTCACGTCCGCTCCGTAGGGGCCCCGGGCCCCGGGCCTGACTGTCCAGCTTTATGCCTGTTAAGGGAAGCCTGTAGCTAAGTCTCACGGGAGTTTTAAACCCCACTTGGCCTGGATCCTGGGCCTGCTCGGGGCGCAGGTGTGGCTGCGGGTGCGCAGCGCATTCCTCAGATGCAGACCTCTGCTTGCCGGCGCCTCGTTCCATCGGAAAAGATAGGCAAAAACTGTAGTTGAAGCTGGGAGCTCTCCAAACACTGCAGTGGACACAGTCACCCTCCCTGCACCCCACCACGACCCAAGACAAAGCTGCCGGGTATACTCCGAGGGGGAACCAAGCTGCGCGCGCGCGCGCACACACACACACGCCCCACCGCGTGTGAGGAGCTCTTGTTTGAAAGGAGGATGGCCTCTGCCTGAGCCATGGAGTGGGTACCTAGCCCCATAGGGTTGGTGAGAGGAACTTAAAGCTGGTGGGGGAGGGACATGAGAGATATCTCAGCAGTTAAAAGCACTGACTGTTCTTGCAGAAGACCCAGGTTCAAATCCTAGCACCCACGTGGCAGCTAACAACCCTTGATAACGCCAGTTCCAGGGGATCTGACATCCTCTTCTGATCGCCATGGCCACACAAGACCCAGGTGGACTTACATACATGCAGGCATAATACTCATACACATAAAATAAAAATAAATAAAAGAATTTTTTTTAAAAAACCTGGTGGGGGAGTGACTAGGTCCAGGGCTCTAAGGAAAGATGCCACAGATCAAGAACTTGGATCTGGGGTGCTGCCAGTGAGGGTGGACTGTGGGAGTTCGGGAGGAGTGAGGTTTGAATGATGATGACATGGGTGTTTTATGAAAACTTGGCCAGCTGACCCCTATGATCTGTGTTTTTCTCCTGCATGTGTTATGTTTGAATAAAAACATTTGCAGAGAATCGACCCATGTGTAAGAGGCTGCAAGGATGGGCCAGAACTAGTAGACTCTTCGTTTAATTGTAATGGGTTCAAAACACCCAGCACCCAGAAAAGAGCACACACACACTTATGCTAAGGCCACAACTGGCCCTGGCTGACGTTTTTGGTCATTATTCACTTACTTTTCTTGTAATCTTTAAAAATTTACTGTTTTTCAGGTGGGGACACACGCCACAGCACACATGTGGAGGTCAGAGGGCAACTCTCAGGAGTCATTTCTCTCCCTTCATGTGAGTCCCAGGATCGAACTCAGGTCATCAGGCTTGGCAGCAAGTGCCTTTACCTGCTGAATTATCCCGCCAGCCCTTCCCTCATAACCTTGTCATCTGTGTGTGCCTGTTATGGAGGCTTAAAAATATGATTTAAGCCCGAAGTGGTGGCACACACCTTTGATCCCAGTGCTTGGGAGGCAGAGGCAGGAGGACCTCTGTGAGTTCAAGGCCAGCCTGCTCTACACAGTGAGATCCAGGCCAGCTGGGGCTACAAGGAGCCCCTGTCTCAAAAAGACTGCTCTTGCAGAGGACCCAGGCTCGATTCCCAGCACCTACATGGTGGCTATGAACTATCCTTAACTCCAGTTCCAGAATCCGAAGCCCTCTTCTGACCTCTGCGGCATTGCACAACACAGGTACACTCACATACATGCAGGCAGTACACTCAAAAATAATAAAGAAAATATTTTTTTAAAAAATATATGATTTAGCCAGGAGATTCCACCTCACACTCATTAGGATGGGCTCTATCAATCCATAAATGACAGGCGCTGACCAGGGTGAAGGGTAGTTCCAGCCCTTAGGTGCTGCAGGAGGAGTGTGAATGATCTGGTGGGTCCTCAAAAACTTAAACAGAATTACCACCTAACGCAGGTACACAGGACAGCGCTCTGTCCCTGCTTCTCCGTGCCACTGGTACGTCAGCAGTCAGTCTCCGCCCCTTGCTGCATCCCAGACCCTTGGAGGACTGCTCTGCTGGGGTCTTTCCTCCGCCCCACTGTCCTGTGAAAGCCAGATTCTGCTTGATTTAACTTGTGTTCTGTCTCATGAACTCCGGAATCGGTAAAACCCGCAGCCTAAGGTATGGGGTACTGAAAGCTGGGCCTCCCATCCTGTGGTTGGCACAGTGACGCCTGTGCCATCTAGAATGCAGTGGGCGGCCTCCTGGGAGTTAGCAATTAGCTAACTTGCCAGCAGTCAGAATCAAGTTGCTAAACACGCAGGAGGAAAGGGATAAAATCCGCCCCTGAAGGATCCCAGAGTGGAAGCTTCTGTGCCCTGTTTCAAAACGGCCAGCAGACCTTCCTGGTTGGGGTTGGGGTGGGGGTGGGGAAATGTGCCAGGCTGTCTGGAGCTTGGGACACAGGCCAAGGTCAAAGGACCCAGTCCTGCTGCACTTTTGGCAGGGTGGCAAGGGGGCGGGGCCTGGCTGTGGTGTGCTGTAACCCTGATATCAAGCCTGTGTTTGGTCAGGGAATGAGTGCTCCATCCTCTTTCTCAACACAGGAAGGACCATCCAACTCTGAGGAGAAGGTCAAAGCCAGCCCTCAAGGGATGACCATGTCCTCACTGCTCTACAGAGCAAGGGGTGGGGGTGGGGTTTCCTCAGATAATCATGCTGGGGCAAGTCAAACACAGGTTCTTACTCCCTTCTTGACCTGGTCTAGAGTTAAGCTGGAACAATGGCAGGTCACAAGCCACCGTCAAGCAGAGTGCCATGCTACACACTGCCTTCCGTCAGGTTGCCCCAGGGCAGCCTCGCTCTCCCTGACAGATGGTACTCACTGACAGGTGGCCCTCCCTAACTGACAGGTGACCCTCCCTGACAGGTGGTTCTGACAGGTGGCCTTGCTAGCAAGTACATGGAGCCATTCTGGGATCTGCAGTGTACTGGTTAGTTTTAACCATCAACTTGGCACAACCTAGAGTCACCTGGGAAGAGGGTCTTAATGAGGAATTATCTAGACCAGACAGACTTGTGGGTAAGTCTGTGGGGGATTGTCTTGTTCATTAAGGTGGGAAGACCCACCCTAAATGTGGGTGACACCATTTCATGGGCTGGGTCCTGAACGGTGTAAGAGCAGGCAAGAAAGCTGAGCACACAGGCAAGCAGGCAGACGGTGCATTCTCTGAGCTTGACTGGATGTCATGTGACCAGCTGCTTGAGTTCCTGCCCTGACTTCTCCTCCATGGACTGTAACCTGGAATTCTGAGCCAAATAAACCCTTTCTTCCCTAAGTTGCTTTTGGTCAGGGTCTTTTATCACAGCGACAGAAATGACACTAGACCTTACAGTCATGGTCTAGGTCGCCGGCCTCCACCTTCCTGCCCTAGTCTGTATGTGTTGCATCCCAGCAGGTATTCCGAGACCCTTAACTGCTTCATTCAGATGCTTCATAGAAATGTGCTGTACACAGACTCGAGAGCTCAAGTCATTTGTCCACAGGTTTGGGAAGGCTTATGCTCAGGTCTCTTCAGTCATTCTGACCCCGAATCTTTGGCACGTGTGTTATGGAAATCAGGCAGTCGAGAAACCGAACATTCACTTGATGAGATGGAGAAGAACCTAGACCTTTTATTTACAACAGCAGTCCCAGAGGAGAGGGTACTCTAAAGTTACAGAAATCTCCATTTTTTTATAGGTCTCCGTGCATCATGTCTTAAAGGCCACAACATCAATAGATTCACATTGTAGCCTGTGTGACCACCGGCACAGAGGCTAATGTGTTCCAAGGCCACCAGGGAAAAATTCCTCTTGGAGATGTCTTGACAGAAGCAGATATTAAGGAATGTGGGATTCAAACATTCCTTACAATAAATTGTATTGCTGACACCTCATCAGGCAGGATAACTCCAGACAGATGATCTACCAGCTAACCCTGGCACTCTCCAGATAGCACTGAGGTCTTCAGTGTTCTCTGTTTTAGTAAGCAATCACAAAACCATTATAAGGTGAGCACTGTGTTCTAACGTACAAAATCGCTCCTTAACTGATAAAAACAATACCAGACTTACAAAAGTCATATTAAATACATAGGTATATTTCTTTTCCTATTCGCATGACCTAAGTCTTTCTAGAAGTCATGGACTGGCTTCTCTTGAGTGTTGTAAATCCCACTGGAAGCAGTAACAAGTGGGTCTGCTACCCACACCCTGAGTGGGCATGAAGGCCTTCCCGGCTTCACTGACTCCTTCACTGATGACTTCCTCTTGCCCTTAGCCTTTCTGGACTCCTAGTGTGTCTGTCCTGGACTTCCTGAGTCAAGATTCGGCCTCTCTTTTTACTTACTTATTTTTATTTTATGTGTTTGAGTGTTGTGCCTGCATGGATGTACTGTGCCCTGCAGTGCCTGTGGAGGACACAAGAGAGCATCAGATCCCCTGGGACTGGAGTTACAGACTGTTGTTAGCCACCATGTGGGTGCTGGGATTCAAATCCAGGTCTTCCGTAAGAGCAGCCAGTGCTCTTAACTGCTGAGCATGTCTCCAGCCCCAAGATTTGGCCTGTCTTACCACTCCTCTCCTAGCCCTGGCTCGTTGTTCCTCTGCTTTCAGAATGATGTTCCAGCCATGCATACTGGTTTCCATGGCTGCCTCATGGCTTTCCCAGTGCTGTTTCTACTATTCTCTGACTGTTCCTTTTTATTTAAGGACGAGAAGCTGTGTAGCCCAGTGAAGCCTTGAACTTACTTATGTGGCCTAATCTGCCCTTGATCTTGGGGTCCTCCTGCCTCAGCCTCCCCAGTGCTAGAATTATACTGAACATAGCATCTGTATCCAGTTACCCTTGTTACTCTCCTCAAAGTTC